AGATTCTCCTGCCTCCTTCTCAAGTGCTGGGATTAAAGGCCTGTGCCTTCATACTCAGTCGGAATTTTGCCTTTTTTTTCTTTTCTCCATTTCAAAGATTTTTATTTACTTTCTCTGTGTGTGCACACTTGACTACAGCATATGTATAGAAGTCAGAAGACAATTTGAAGGAATCGATTTTTCTCTTACTCTGAGGGGGTTGGAGGATTGAACTCATGTCGACAGACTCAGCAGCAAGCACCTTTACCAGCTGAGCCATTTCATAGCCCCCCCCTCTCTTCTTTTTTTTTTTTTAAAATGGGTTTAGCCCAGGCCAGCCTTGAACTCCCCATCCTCCTGCTTGAGTCTCCCGAGCGATGGGATCACTGGAAGGTGGCACCATGCCCAGCTAAAAACACTCCTTGTTCTGTTCTGGGTGCAGAGGAGACAATCAAACCCGGATCCCAGTGACACGCAATGTCCTTACAGATTCTTAAGAGTGATGTTGGCCTCTGCCTGTTGGGCTTCCAAGCCTTGGACGTTCCGAAGCCTGCAGGACCCCTCTGGATCCTCGGAGACGTCTTTTTGGGGCCCTATGTGGCCGTCTTCGACCGAGGAGATAAAACCAATGGCCCGCGCGTGGGTCTGGCGCGTGCTCAGTCTCGTGCAACCGGGCCGGCAGGAAGAAGGGTTGCCCAGGTGCAGTTCCCCAGAGGACGCCCCATTTAGGGTACAGGCACACAGGGCTTACAAAGGCTATGCTTCTTTCCAGTTTTTTTTTTTTTTTTAAAAATCACTTTCCATTGAAGGAACTCATTTTGGTCACTTTCGGGAAGGGGAAATGAATGTCTGACCTCTAGAGTTTAGGAAGAGATGGGAGGGAAGAGAAACATTCTATTCTGCAGTCTGCGCGCCAGCCAGAGGTCCCGGAACAACAATCTCCATGAAGCCTCTGGCTCCCAACTGCCCGTAGTCAAAGGCCCATGCATCGCGGAGCATCATGGACTTTGTAGTCCTTTTTTATGTTGGCTTCCCGCCGAGGGCGGCCACAACCTCAAGTGTGGGAGGCGACAAGTCGCGATGACGGTGACAGGTGGCAGTGGGGGTGAAATCGGCAAAGGATTCTTTCTAAGGAGATAGGTCACCATTCTGCGGACCTTGTGTGTCCTATTCTCTCCCTGGGGATTCCAGGGCCCCTGGATCTTTCATGAAGGTGGCCCTTGAAGACCCCTGTTTGTCGGGGGCGGGGTCTGCCTCTGCTCCGTTGGCGATGTCACAGCTCCCATATGCATGCAGTCCCTCACTCCTAGAAGTGCTCAGCCCGTTCACCCCTCCCCCCACGACATACATCCCTTCAGTCACCTAGACTTGGGGTGAGTATGAGGGAGGGGCAGAAGTTCAAGTTCTGAGGGTTGAAGACAGTCTACAGCTCAGCTTGTGAGACAGAGGACTCAGGAGACGAGACTGGGAACCAAAGATTGCAGCGGAAGGACCCCCTTGATTCTGAGCTTAGGGGTGGTGGCAAGGTACTTGTGTTTTGTTTGTTTGTTTGTTTAGTTTTGGTTTTTGGAGACAGACTATTCTGTGATGCCCTGGCTGACCTAGTACTCGCTCTGTAGACCAGGCTGGCCTCAAACTCACAGAAATACACCTGCCTCTGCAATCCTAGTGCTGGGATTGAAGGCGTGTGCCCGGCTGTGCGGGGCGTGTGGTGGGGAGGGCATTAGCAGTGTGTTTACAGTCTTGGCTTCACTGAGACTCTTCCCTGGATTTTGCACTGGATAGGTTGGGAGGAAGGGAACAGAGCAAAAAGTAATCTTAGAAGTCCTGAAAGGGGAGATTGGTCTCTAGTGTCTTGATCTTGGGAATAGGGAGAGGACAGCAGGAGAGGATGCCAGGGATGCCAGAGGGTGTCCTGTGGGGGGCAAGGATGAGGATGAGTGAGGTGGACCAGGACTGAGAAGAGTCTCAGAAGTAGGCAGACATCCTTCCTGGATCCCCTCAACTCAGTTTTGATTCTGTTCCCCTGTGGATGTCCTGTAACACAAGCTCCATCCAGTCTATGGTCAAAGGGTGGTGATTCTCTACTGACCAACCCCTCTCCCCATGCCCTGGGGAATGTAGCAGGCTTTTTCATGATTCTCCCAAACCATGACATGGAGACTTAATATTAGTTATGATGTTTGACCTTATCTCATGGCCTGTCCCACTAGCTCTTATAACTTCACCTGTTTCTTGTCATTCACATTTTGCCTCATTCTGTATGCTTCCTCCGTGTCTGTCTGTCTGTCTGGTGGCTGACTGGCTGGACCCAGGAATCTCCCTCTCTTTCTTCCTCATTCTCTCCTCTCTTCTTCCCCAAACCTAGATTTTTTTCCCTCCCATTTATTCTCCCTGCTTGCCAGCCCCGCCTATTCCCTCCTCTGCCTAGCTATTGGCCATTCAGCTTTTTATTAGACCAATCAGGTGCCTTAAGCAGGCAAGGTGAAACAGCAACACATCTTTACATAATTAAACAAATGCAGCACATCTTTAAATATTCCACAGAAGGGGCGGTCTTGGGAGATACCCAAGTTTCCCAGGTCACATGAGTTTCAAACTGTTGTCTAACCCCCTAGTCTTCTCTCTGTTTCCTCCTCCTTATCCCCATTTCTGACCTCTGGGGGGCGGGAGAAGACCAAATGCTGGTTTATTTGGTAACTGGATCCCATGCTTGGCTCTGTAAAGAGCAGAAAGTCAGGGTGGAGGTGAGGTGTGATAGAGGATTGTGATTTAGGCTTTTGTGACAGTCATATTTCCATCCTCTAATCCATCCTGGCTCCAACTGTCCCCTCACAGCGAGTCACTGCTTCTATCTGTCACCTGCCAGAATTAGGAGTGCGCAGTCGGTAGTAAGTGCCTCTTAATGGGAGCTCCAGAGTCTGGGGCGGGTGAGGACTCCTGGGTCTGCAGGACAGGCCTCCCTTCTGCGACTCTACAATGATGCAGACTCAACTGCTGTCAAGATGGGGTTAGATTGGGATGGAGAATCCAGAGACAGAGGAACCCCGGGAGAGAGGACGACAGAGCTTCAGAAAGTGAAACAGACAGAAATCCAGAGAGAGGGACGGGGCAGAGTCCGGGGGGCGGGGGCGCAGAGACTCAGAGGGGAGGAGATAGAGACTTAAAGAGGGAGGGACAAAGAGCTAGAGAAAGGGACTGGCACCAAAGGAGGGAGACAAAGACCCAAAGAGAAAGGATGAGACTCACACACACAGAGACACTTAGAAAAGAGGAACCAGATTCCCAGAGTGGTAGGGAGAGGTGGGCGAACACTCAGAGACAACGGAGAAAAGGTGACGGAGACACTTAAGCGGGAACGGGGCTTGGGATGGGAATACGAACCCGCGTAGCGCCTGCAGAGGGAGGCGACGAGCCAGCGACCGCCGCAACCCCTGACCCGCCCTCTTCGCTCTCGCTGGCGTCTCAGCCCCCGCCGCAACCCCCGCCGCAGCCCCCGCCGCAGCCCCCGCCGCAGCCTGCAGCCTCCGCCGCAGCCACTGCACTTGCGGTAGGACCGCCCAGGAGGCGGGGCCTACCAACTAGGAGGCGTGTTATCTCTTGTCCGACTCCTCCCTTCTTTCTCCATAACCCCACCCTTCCCCATTGGCCCGCTTATTCCAGTGGTTGAGAAGCTGTAGCCAGCTCCAAGGGCTGCACTCCCCCTTGCATGTACTGGCACCCTCTCCTTTACTCATCTCTTTGCCCTCCTGCCAGCAACCTTTATGGTTTAGGCCTCATTCTCTTTCCTCCACCAACTGGAAACTTTGCCCCTCCCCAAGGCTTCGTGGACCATCCCCTTGGGTCTCTGACACCGAGTCTTTACATTCCTGGCCCAGACCCCCGTGTCCTGTGAGTGTCTTTCCCCTAAGAGTTGTCTCATTTTCCTCCCTCCATCCCACCAGGCTGGCGGTTCCTGAAGCTAAATGCCCATTTTTAGTGCCCCACTTCTCCATCCACTTATCAGTCCCATCTTCCTCTGGACCATTGAAGATGTTCCCAACCCATTACAGGCCCCGCCCACTTGTCTACGTTTCTTCCACCCTCTTCCTAATGAAGTCCAAGTTTGCAGCCTCCAGCAGGAGCTGGTGGTGCACGCCTGCCATCCCAGCTACCAGGATGAGGTTGAGGCAGAGTCAGGATAGCAAACCTAAAGCCTCCCTGGACTCTACAACGTGCAGTTTCGGTCCCTCCCTAGCTTCCATGCAGAAGTTCCCAGGCCTCTCCTTCCACCCCTTCCCACTATCCCTGCCCCCGGTCAGCTTTTCAATCAGGTTCCATCTCCACCTCCAGTTCTGGTTCCGCCCCTTCCCCGCCCCCAAGTGAGACCCTTCCCCTCATTCTTCCGTCCCAATAAGAAGGACTGTTATTGATTTCTTGGGTTTCCAATCACTGTTAACCTAACTAAACCCTCCCCTTGTTCATCTGCTTTTCCAATACAGGTAGGGGAGTGACCAGTTTGGTTTCTTTGTCAGCTTCTCCTCCTGTGGTTACTCCCTTTTTATGAACCCCCTATCAGATTTTTTTTTTTTTGAGATAGTTTCATGTAACCCAGGCTGGTCTCCACCTCACCTGTAGCATGATCTTCAACTCCTTATCCTCCTTCCAACCCTCCCTCCCCCCGGCTCCACCGCACCTGTCTCTTTCTCATACCTGGCTCCTAGGTCTCCATTTTCGCTGTATTGCTGAGTTAGGCATTTTTAGGGTTCCCTTGACGCCCCGCCCCCTTCTAGGTACGACCCAATCCCTGAGCCTTCTCTGCAACCCCACCTACTCTAACTAGGCTTGGTCGGAGTCCGTCTAGCCATGGCCCCGCCCATCTCCGCAGCCCAATCAGCTCTTGCCCTTCCTCCACCTATCCAATAGCCCTTTCCTCATACAGTCATCGTCTCCTCTCACCCAATCAGCTTGGACTTTCCACCCGGGCCCCGCCCCTGCTATCCCGCCCCCAGCCCCGCCTCCCTGTCCAATGCTGAGCTCAGTGTGCGTTTGGTGGTTCCGCGGGCGCCAGGGGCTCGGCGAGCAGCATCTGCAACCGGCACCAACGCCGCCGCCACCGGAGTCTCCGCCGCCGCCGCCGCCTTAGCAGTGCACGCAGTTCGGCCCCGCCGCGTGCCCGGCGGGTGCCCCGCTTTCCCGTGGGCCCGGGGGCCGGCGCGCCGAGCCATGCCCCGGGCTGCCGGCGGTGGCCATGGGGCGGCACGGCGGCGGCGGCGGCGACAGCGGTAAGATCGTGATCAACGTGGGCGGCGTGCGCCATGAGACGTACCGCTCCACGTTGCGCACCCTGCCGGGGACCCGGCTGGCCGGGCTGACCGAGCCCGAGGCGGCCGCGCGCTTTGACTACGATCCGGGTACAGACGAGTTCTTCTTCGACCGCCACCCGGGAGTCTTCGCCTACGTGCTCAACTACTACCGCACCGGCAAGCTGCACTGCCCGGCCGACGTGTGCGGTCCGCTCTTTGAGGAGGAGCTAGGCTTCTGGGGCATCGACGAGACAGACGTGGAGGCCTGCTGCTGGATGACCTACCGCCAGCACCGCGACGCCGAGGAGGCACTCGACTCCTTCGAAGCTCCCGACTCCTCGGGCGCCGCCAACGCCGCCAACGCCGGAGGCGCCCACGATGCAGGCCTGGACGACGAGGCGGGCGCAGGAGGCGGCGGGCTGGACGGAGCAGGCGGCGAGCTCAAGCGTCTGTGCTTCCAGGACGCAGGCGGAGGCGCCGGGGGACCTGCCGGGGGCGCGGGCGGCGCGGGCGGCACGTGGTGGCGGCGCTGGCAACCCCGCGTGTGGGCGCTTTTCGAGGACCCCTACTCGTCGCGGGCCGCCAGGGTGAGCGCGCTCTCCGAGCACCTTTAACTATCCCAACCTCTCTGCTCCCAGAGTACTCCATGCCAAGTCTTTCCCCACCCGTCCCGTCTCCCCAGTCCTCTGGAAGCCCTCTTTCCCTGCAGCCGGAGTTCCCTACGCCCCTTCAAACACACCCCTCCCGAACCTTCAGCTTCTCCCGGGCCTTCCAAACTCCAACCACTGCTCTAAGTCATCGTAGATGCTGAGAAATGGCTCCCTAACTGAAAATCTCCCAGACTTCCCTGGCAGTCTCACCCTTTCCTTTTCCACACACCTCCTGAGACCTTCAAAATATCTCAAGCCCTCAAAATGTCCTTAGCCAAAACTCAACTCCCCGTTCCTTGAACACCCCGAAGCCCCTTATTCCCGGTCCTCGGTGTCCCAGACCTTAGAAACACTACCTCCCGTGTCGTCGTCGTCCCCTCTCCAACTCTCCCTCATTCTCTGTCAGGGCCCAGTCTCTAGATCTCTGTTTCTTTCTAACTTTGGACCTCCTGGCAGTTTGTGATCTTCTGCTCCTAGCTCTCAAAGTTCTAGAAGATCCCCGCCCCTGCAGAACCTCCAGGACCTCACTGAACCTCCAAACTGCTGGTTCCAGTCAGGACAGTTTCCCAACGACCTAGCTACAACGCTGAGTCCGGGGAGCGGTGTAGGGGGGGTCTTTTGTAAAACTCTCCTCCCAGATTCTTCCTCACCCTCTTCATCAACCCCCTGCAAAGACTCGCCCCATAGAGCTCAGACTTCCGCAATCAGGACCCACTTTTGTGTCTCCAGAAGGGCCCCATGCTTTCCCTCTCCTCTTTAGCACCTCAGTTTGTGCCCCTCCACTTTGAACTACCCTACAGTTGGCATTATATCCCCTCCCTCCAATCTCACACTGTCCTCTGCCTGTAGGATCCCTTCCCATTTCCATTCCTCCCTCGCCAGTTACTTTCTCATTCTGCCAAGTGACTTTCAGAAGTTTGAGTCCCCTCCAATCTAGAGACCTAACTCCTGCTACTCACCCCCAAGTCATCAGTCCAGAAACTTCTCATATGGTTTCCGTTCCCACCCCACCCCCTCTTGGGATAGCTCAACCCGCTGGGTTCTCCTCTCTTAGCCTTGCTTAAGCTTCCCCTACTATCACTCCTCCGTTTGTCTCCCCTGATGGTAAATCCAGAACCCTAGAAACCCCTAGGTTCCCTCAACAATCTCTCGTGGAAAAGTTTGTGAGCCGCAGTAGATACCCTCTTGATAGCTCTGGCTAGAGCTTTTCCTTCTTCCTAAACTTCCTCCAGGTCGGGAGACCCTAGAGGAGGGTGTGTGGGAATAGCCAGGGGAGTAAATTCAGGACAAAAGAGGGCACTAGCAAAAGTGGGAAACAGAAAGCCACTCCTCCCCTCCTCCCCTCCCCCCTCCTGCCACCTCGCCGCGTCCTGGGCCGGGAAGGACGCAGAGCCGCAGTGCCGCATTCGGGCTGGTGGGGGGGGGGGGGGGGGACCGGAGGCTTCGCATAAAGTTTTAGTTCCTGAGAAGCGCTGAATTGGCGACATTTAGGGTTGAGTTGGGAGGAAGGGGAAAGAAAGAGGGGCAGGAGGGACATGGCCCCAGATGCTCCTTCGCGCCTCAGAGCATCTCCACCCCCACTCGATGCTTTGGGGCGCCCTTTCTTCCTGTGACCCATTGAAGGGTGCTGAGACTGAGAGGAAGTCTTTGGGTGATGGCCAGGCTAGGGGTCCAGAATGGCTACGAAGGTCACGCATTTATTAATTGCACCGACTTTTGTTTGTCTGTTTAAATATCCGCTGTGTGCTGGGTACTTTCCAACCTCCAGGTGGACCTTCTTGCAAATTGGGAGCGCAAACCACTTTCAAGCTCAGGGTCCAGCCCTCCGGGCTCTGCTTTGCTTTCTTTCTAGAACCTCGGTACCCTCCCATGCCTTCTGCTTCGGAGTCACTTCAGGGGAAACCAATCCTGCACCTGTGACTGCAGCGGGTGCCCACCCTTCCTTGGACTCCTGGGAGGGAAGGGATTAGGCAAACTATAGGCCCGGTGGCTTTTAACTGTGAAGCCAAAGCCTTAGGTACTGCGGCTGCGCGCGGCTTGCTTGCAGCGCTTCGGCTTGGAATGAGTTAAGAAGGCCACCAGGCCACTGCGGCTGCGCACTGCGGCGGGGGAGCTGTCCGTGGTACTGGCCGCCGGGCGCCCTGCTCCGGGCCCGGCCGACCCGCCCCCACTGCAGTACCGCAGCCTGCTGGTTGGGGGCGGGGAGGCCCCGGGCATGCGCTCTGCAGAGACCTCAGGCCTCTTCTCCACTGCAGAGAAACCACGTCGGTGGTCTACACTACTGACCACTGTCCCATCCAACCCTAAGGCCGCTCATCCTTCAGTTATTAAACTCTGACTGAAAGCCCAGGCCCCTGAATTCACATCTCCATAACCATAACCCCTCCCTATACACAAGGCTTCCTGGTCCTCTTCCCGTATCAGATTCCCCCACTTGGCCCCCTTCTCTGGCCTTTGCTTGAGGTTAAAAGTCCAGATCCCCACACACAGGCCTTCCTCCACAGGACTCTCCTCTTTCTGATCTTCCCCCATTTTATAAGACAGCCATCTCTCGGACCTTGCCTCTCTAGTCCCAACTTCTTCCAGATCCTGATCTAGCCCCCTCTTCCTCACTAGGTAGCAAGACTCTGGGTCTCTCCCACTTTGACAAAGCACAAGCCTCTCACCTCCCAGTTACTGGACTTTGGCCCCTGAATTTACCCCCGCAGAACCACAACCTCCCCATCCACAAGGCTTCTCGGTCCTCTTCCCTCTCCTTAGCCTTATCTAGCAAGGCCTTCCCTCTTCAGTTCCCCTACACCCAGACTTTCATCCCATCCCCGAACTACCGCAGGTCTCTGTTTTTAGCAGATCACTTGCAGTGGGGTCCTTAGAGCATGGCCATTTTCTGACCCCCTTATCCTTGCCCCAGCTAACTGATCCACTGTACCCTAGTAACAGCTCAGATCTCACTGTGTTCCAGGCACTCAGCCAAGCACTGTTTTTGGAAGCAAGCCCTCTGTACACTCACCAAATCTTCATAACAATTCCATTAAAAAACAAAATTCAGATCCAAAAAGCTTAACCCTTGTTCCAGTTTGACAAATTCAAATCCAGGCTTTTGAGAGGGGCCTAGTGGCAAGCAGACTTCATATCCCAGTGACTCAGGAGGCAGGAGGACTACAAATTCAAGGCCAGCCCAGTCAAATTAGCGAGACCCTGTCTCAAAATAAAAGTTAGAAAAGAGGGCTAGGGATGTATCTTGGGGACAGAATGCTTACCTAGCCTGCGTAAGGCTGTGGGTTGTACCCCCAGTGCCACAGAAATAAGATCTAGTGTCCCCACATGCCCTTACCCTTCCCCAGGTTCAGGTTGAGTCCCAAACCTCTGAGACATGGGTAGTGTGGTTGTCCCTCTCAGGCCCATCCCTGAATAGAATATTTGAACCCTTCTGGGGAAACCTGATATGGGAAGTACCCAGAAAGTGCTCTTTCCCTGGGTCAGCTGTGGCAAGCTTCTGCCCTGAGCTTCTCAGAACCATTTAAGTGGGGACACTTGGATTCTAATGGGATTTGGGCCCTGAGGTGGGGAATGGGAGGCAACCTGAAGGGTCTTTACTCCAGTGATGCAAATGTATTGGTCACCCCATCCTCTCTCCCTCCCTCCTGCAGTATGTGGCCTTTGCCTCCCTGTTTTTCATCCTCATCTCCATCACCACCTTCTGCCTGGAGACACACGAGGGCTTCATCCACATCAGCAACAAGACGGTGACGCAGGCCTCCCCGATCCCTGGGGCTCCCCCAGAGAACATCACCAATGTGGAGGTGGAGACAGAACCCTTCTTGACCTATGTGGAAGGCGTGTGTGTGGTCTGGTTCACCTTTGAGTTTCTCATGCGTGTCACCTTCTGCCCGGATAAAGTGGAGTTCCTCAAGAGCAGTCTGAACATCATCGACTGTGTGGCCATCTTGCCCTTCTACTTGGAGGTGGGCCTGTCAGGCCTCAGCTCCAAAGCTGCCAAGGACGTGCTGGGCTTCCTGCGTGTCGTCCGCTTTGTTCGCATCCTGCGCATCTTCAAGCTGACCCGCCATTTCGTGGGCTTGCGTGTGCTGGGCCACACACTCCGGGCCAGCACCAATGAGTTCTTGTTACTCATTATCTTCCTGGCTCTGGGGGTCCTCATCTTTGCCACCATGATCTACTATGCTGAGCGCATTGGTGCCGACCCTGATGACATCCTGGGCTCCAACCACACCTACTTCAAGAACATCCCCATTGGCTTCTGGTGGGCTGTGGTCACCATGACCACCCTGGGCTATGGAGACATGTATCCCAAGACATGGTCTGGGATGCTGGTTGGGGCGCTGTGTGCCCTGGCTGGTGTGCTGACCATTGCCATGCCTGTGCCCGTCATTGTCAACAACTTCGGCATGTACTATTCACTGGCCATGGCCAAGCAGAAATTGCCAAAGAAGAAAAACAAACACATCCCCAGGCCTCCACAGCCTGGCTCACCCAACTACTGCAAGCCTGACCCCCCACCTCCACCCCCGCCACACTCCCACCATGGCAGCGGTGGCATCAGCCCACCACCGCCCATCACCCCTCCCTCCATGGGGGTGACTGTGGCTGGGGCCTACCCACCTGGACCCCACACACACCCCGGGCTGCTCAGGGGTGGTGCTGGGGGACTGGGCATCATGGGATTGCCTCCTCTCCCAGCCCCTGGTGAGCCCTGCCCACTGGCTCAGGAAGAGGTGATTGAAACCAACAGGGCAGGTGAGACTGGGGCCAGCACTGGGGGTGCAGGGAGACCTGGGGAGAGGTGGGCAGGATTGCAGGTGCAAGGCTGGGGCCAGCACTGGGGGTGCGGGGAGACCCAGCAGGATGGGGGAGGTGTCTCTTAGGTTCAGGGGTGGAAGGCAACAGTAGACAGAAAGGACAAATGGTTAGAAGGCTAGAGAGGAAGCAGAAAGGACTATAGAGACAGGCTCCATGTGCGAGAGTGTTTCTGAAGGTGTGTTTGTAGCCAGGCTGCTCCGAGAGACCCGTGGGCAGACAGCATAGCGAGGCTGTTTGTAGACTCGGAAACCCAGGTATCTGGGGCATGCTTCCTAGCCCTTGGAGGCACTTGGTACCTCCCATCTTGAAAAGTAGAGGTAGGAGGATCAGGAGTTCAAGGGCTAACCTGTGCTACACGTCCCTGTCTCAAATATCACCAGGGAAAAAAGTACAAAGAGAGAAAGAGAAGGGAAGGAGAGAAGTTAGGACGGGAAAGTGGGTGGATGGGAAGGAGAGAGATAGCAGGGACTCAACACTGGGGAGCCCGAGACAAGAGGGTCAGCACATGTTCGTAGCTATCCTAGGCCACACACATCCAGAGACCCTGTCTCAGGAAAACAAACAGAAAAAGGTTTTGAGTGACCTCCTGGGCCTGCAGTCCACTCGCATTCTCTGTCAGTTTCCTGGGAAAAGATGAGAGAGGGGAGAGAGAAAGAATAAAGAAAGAAGAATTCTTGTAACCCCAATACTTAGGAGGAAGAGGCAGGAAGATCAGGAGTTCAAGGCTGGTTGGAGCTACATGAGACCCTGTCTCAAAAAGAAAAGAGCTCAGTGTAAATAAAACACAGGGAGTCTCACATGACTCCCAGGAAGGCTAGGGACAAGCCTGCACACCAGGGCAGTGCATGACTCTGGCAGACTGTGCCGAGGCCAGAGCTGGGGAAGGCAGCATGGCTGGTCTGCCAAGTATCACCATCACTGATGAGAGGGAGACAGTGGAGTGGGCAGTCAGCAGGACAGAGTTTAGGACCCACCTACATGTGGGCAGAACAGCCAGGGTGTGGAGCTGCAAGGTACGGTCTGCAGAGACAGCATGAGAATCAGCCAGGCCTAGTTGATCACACCTGTTACCCCAGTATTTGGGGAGCTGAGGCAGAAGGATGAGGTGAGTTCAAAGCTAGCCTGGGCTATAGAGCAAGACTGTCTCAAAAGAATTTTTTAAATGAGTCAGGCCAAGAAGAGGGAGGAGCCAAGAAAACGGGTGGCTGTGCCTGATTTTGCATGTTGTGTGTGTCGTGGGGGACACTGTTCCTTGCAGGCAGTGACTTGGGTGTCCTGGAGGAAGGAGTTGAGCCCCCCCCCCCCAGGCCTTAAGTAGGTCAAGAAAATGAGCTAGTCTGCCTGGCCCCCCATCTTGTTCCCTTAGCCACTGACCCAGTTTTCCACCCAGTAAAAAATAGCTCAAGTCAGAGCCTAGGGGACCCCCACCTCACCCTCCCTCACCTGTCACCTCCCAGCCCTTCCCCACCCTGCCCTTTGCAGCACCCCACACTTGTCCCTAAGCAACCACTTTGCAATCCGTGGCATCCTCCCTGTCCCCTCTCAGGGCCTGGCACCTTAATGCTGGTTGTGCCCAGCACCACTTTTGTTTTGTTTTGTCTTTTGTTGTTTGTTTGTTTTGTTTTTTCTTGGAGGCAGTCTCACTATGCAGCCCAGACTGGCCTCAAACTCAGAACCCTCCTGCCTCAGCCTCCTGAGTGTTGGGATGATAGGTGGGCACCACCGTGCCGGATCCACAGTAACCACAGCGGCCCCAGCCACTCTCCCAGTACCAATTGTGGACATTCCCATACTCACGCAAGACCCGATTGCCACTTTCTAGCCCTCGACTCTGCCCCTCAGCCAGCCACTGCCCGTACCCTCCGCCCATTGTCTTCCCGGCCTACCGCCCCCAGGGTCACTCTCGGACCTCCATCCCTCCAGCGTCCTCCACTCTCAGCTCTCCCTTCAGTCTCTGTTCTGTCTGTGACCCCTCACCTTGCAGTGGACCCCCGTCCCAATGGGGACCCCGCAGCCGCTGCACTGGCCCACGAGGACTGCCCTGCGATCGACCAGCCAGCCATGTCTCCAGAAGACAAGAGCCCGATCACCCCCGGAAGCCGGGGCCGCTACAGCCGGGACCGAGCCTGCTTTCTTGTCACTGACTATGCCCCCTCCCCTGATGGCTCCATCCGAAAAGGTGAGGTGCCCCCCAGGAGCTCCCCAGAGACCCTTCCTCTCTCTCCAGCCCCGGGGAGGGAGGAGAGGGGATGGGGGAGGTGCCAGACTTCCCTCTGTGTCCCCCTCAGCCCCAAACTACCTTCTTCCCTATCCTCCCTCGCCTTGAGCCCCAAATTTCCTCACCTTTCTTTATTTCATCTCCATCTCCCCCACCCTCCCTGACTCTCCGGCCTCTTCCCTCAACCCCAGCCACTGGTGCTCCCCCACTGCCCCCCCCATACTGGCGCAAGCCAGGCCCCCCAAGCTTCTTGGCCGACCTCAACGCCAACGCAGCGGCCTGGATATCCCCCTAGTGGACGAGCCCCCTTCCCCCTAGGGTAAGTAGTTCCCCACCATGCCCCCCAACTTCCCTTCCTTCTGTACCTCCAGCTAACCTCTGAGAACACGCTCTCCCTGACCATGACCCTCAGCCATGGTGAGCAGCTGCACCCAGTTCCTGACACTGACCCCACCGTCACCCCAGGACGCACCTAGTCCTCACTAACACTCGAACTAACCCAGCCCCAGCTCCCACCTGTAACCTCTTCACCCCAATCCCCACCCCACTGCTGCCTCTACCCTCACCTGTCTGCACCCCTCTCTGGGTGTTTCTATCTAGTCACCAATGTGGGTTGGATGCCTGGACACTCCCGAGTGCAGGAAGAGTGAGCCAGGCAAGTTCTCTCTAATCTTAAGATGAGAGACAGGGACACAAGAACCAGGAAAGTGGGGCTGTACTAGAGGCCAGGCAGTAAGATGGGTGGAGCAAATCATGAGGCTGGAAGCTCGTGAGAAGCCGGATGAGAGTCTAGCAACAAGAGGAGGACCTAGCTGGAACCAGGTCTGTGAGATGAACACATGACAGCCAGTGGTCTGTCAGGAGGGATAGGAAAAGCCAAGCATGGGAGTACACATCTGTAAATACAGCATTCTGATGTTGGGGCAGGGGGGTTGTGAGATTGAAGGGTTAGAAAACAAGATCCTGCCCCCACCCCCCAATTTCTTGTTTTAGCTACTATACTTTGGGGTGATTTGTCACATAGCAGAGGTAGCTGTTACAATGCCCCACCATGAGGAGGGAAGAACTTTCCTGGAAGGCTCAGGCTCTCTCTGAGGTACTCTCAGCCTTGGTGTGCTCTCTCAGTGTGAACAGCGCTGTCTATCTGTGTTGTGGGTAGGCACCGGCACAGCTGACTCTGGGAAAGCTGTCTGAGAAAGTGACTTGAGACCTGAAAGGAGAGGCCAAGTACCCAGACCTAAGTGCTGAGAAGGCTGGGGAGGAGGGAGGCTGGGTTTGAACCCTGTCCATAGAGCTCTTGCCTAGAAGCCCCAGTGAGGGGCTGGGGCATGGCTCAGCAATGGAGAACTTGCACAGAGGACGGGTGGTGTGGCTGAACGGGGAAGGGCTGCAAGGGCATCCGAAAGCTTAGTGCTGGGGAGGCCAGCTCTGTCCTAACATGGGAGAAGTTGCTTGCAGGTGTTGATCTACTACCTGCTCGTTCTAGAAACAACACAGCACCTTCTTTAGAAATATAAACACATGAAGAATCCTTGCTCTTGGCCTAAGGCTGTATGGAACCCCCATGTTCCAAAGACCTCCAGGGAGTGCCAACTGGGAGCAGACAGGTGTGAGAAGCTAGGCTTCAGGCTCCTAGCCCAGAGGGGTCTGTGTGCCTCTCCCTTCCATGTCGTTCCTACACCCACCCCATCACCTTCCATGTCCATCTCATCACTCCTTCCTTCCTTCCTCCCATCTCACCCCACCCCCGCTTGAACCTAGACCTCTATTCCTTACCCCTTGTTGGAGGGTTCCTGGTGGGATGGAGGGCAAAGCAGAGTGTGTGGGGAATCCCGGGGGGTGGGTGAGGCCCTTGCTTTTTTCGCATATGATACCAAAATCCATTCACTGAACTCAAATGATGGCCGGAGCTGATGGGGCTGGCTGAATTCTCTGCCCCAATATTCCCCTACTTGCCTGCCTCTCTGCCCCAATATCTTCTTTCCTTACTGGCCTGTCTATATTTACCCTCTGACCTTCTGACTCCCATACCCAGCCCCATTCCTTCCATCCTCGGTCCCCCCCTTTCCCAGCCACCCCGGAAGCTCCTGCCATATTTGATGTCTCTGGCTACCCCCATTTCACTGCTCCCATCACCCCCGGAAAACACCAGAGAGGAGAAAAACATCCAGGCGTTTCTCCGTCCCCCCAACAGTGAGCCTGTGTTGGGGAGCCCCCATCTGCCTCCCATTCCCCATCCTTGACTCTCTGTTTCTGTCCCCAGCTCTTGTCACCGCCTGAGACCTCGCGAGACCCTCGGGTTCCCCCTGTCCCTTCCCCCCAGGTTAGCAATTGGGAATGGTGGGAGGGGGTGTCCCTGAGACACCGGGCTTCTGTCCCCCACCCCAGGCACTCTCCTGCAGTTAGAATACACCTTCCAGCCTGGGATGCTTAGAAAAGTCATCCCAGTACCTGGTGCTAGCAGAGCAATAAAAAAAAAAAACAAAGCAACAACAAAACCCACCCACCCACATGGTCCTGATACGGGATCTCATGAGCTGTGTGACCTTACTGCTTCCCGTCACCAGCAGACCCCATCAATTTTGGAATCATCCACCTCATCCTATGTCCTGGACTCTTGAAAGATGTCCATGTTGAGTGGAATGGCTTATGCCTTAGTCCAAGGCTACCTACCTACTGAATTTGAAGTCAGCCTAGGCTAAATAGTGAGTTTGAGGCCAGTCTAAGATACACAGTATGCTCGATTAAAGCCAGCCCGGGCTACACAGTGAGCTCTTATTACATGGTCCCAGGGTATCTCCTCCCCCTCCCTGCACCAGGCCCCCAGCTCCCCCCTGCACAGCCCCCTCCACCAGCTGCTGCCTCCACCCCAGCCCTTGCCGCCCACCATCCCACCTCGCCAACTGCTGCCTTTGGGCCTCAGATCAGGGGACCGACCGTGGGGAGGGGGAAAAGAAGGGTGGGCAGGCTGGGTGGGGCGGCTTAGTGGGCACCACCCACCTCCTAATCCTTTCTCTCCCCTTCCCTGTGTCTGCACCTTTCTTGTGGATGCTGACTGACTGCGATTTCTTCACCTCTCTCTCCATCTCCTCGGCCCACCCATCCCGCTTATGGGTGTTTCTCCCCTCTCCACCCTTCCTCTCTCTGCCTCTGTGTCCCTGTTTGGGGTCTCTGTGTACCCTCACCCTGGCTCCTATCCCCACGCACCCTCCCACCCTTGTCTCTGCTCCTTCCTCAGGTTACGAGAAGTCCCGCAGCCTGAGCAGCATTGTGGGCCTGAGCGGGGTATCCCTGCGCCTGGCGCCCCTCGCCACTCCCCCAGGCTCGCCCCGGGCCACGCGCCGAGCTCCCCCGACCCTGCCCTCCATCCTCTAGTGCTCCCTCTCCCGTGAGGGGACTGGGGGTGATGGGAAGGTCGAAAGGAGCTAGGAGTGGGGGCGGGGAAAGGGTTCTTTAAAAAAAAAAAAGTCATTAATAATATGCAAAAGAGGCAATGATGCCAGCAGACACCCTCGGGCCTCTCCCCAAGTACTAGAGCCTCCAGGATAGAGGGGGTGGGGCCGGAGCCTGTTCTCCCCCTACTCTCTCCCCTCCCTCCCCCCCCCAAAAAAAAGCAAACCTCAGGTTGTCATGAGCCATAGGACACCCCTCCCATCGACTCCTGTAAATAACTAAAAGCTGATTCCATCTTGGGGCACACTCCAGTTTGCATGCCTCCCAGACCCCCTCTTCAGCAATAAGCCCATCAGGAGCTGCTTGCAGTGAGTTGGAGGGGAGGCCGCCAGGAGCTTCTGGGGTCGGGACTGGCATTTTAGGGGTTTTCCTGCTCACCCCCCAAAATGGTGACCCACCCATCACTAATTGATTCAGGAAAAACAAACAAAAACCTAGGAACGTGTAGGGAAAGGAAAGCAGGTTGATCCGGCCGCAGCCTTCAGGAGCTCCGCTGGGGGTGGGGGGGTTCTGCCAGCAGCTCCCGGGCTTGGATGACTCCAGCTGGTGCATTCCACCCACGCCCGCCTCCAGGGATCTGCTCCCTCTATTCACTGCATGGACTTAGCCCTCCAGGCCCACAACCCTCCACCCTACCCTGACTCCACTCTATCTCAGAACATGAGACTAGCACCCTAGACTTCCGGAGATTGACCCAGGCACCGTGCCCTCCCATCCCCATGCACTCCGGCGCCCCACACTTCCCACTTCCATCACTCCCAGACCCATCCACCACTGGCCTGGCCTGCACTGCAGTGTTCTTCCACCCTCCCAGACCCTTTCCTTGTATCCCAGCTCACTTCCAGCCTCTGGGACCTGGCAGTCCTCATGACCCGGACATTGCTCAGATAAACTCAAGCTTCCCCTGACCCCAGACAGCCCCAGCCCCCTGCCCCCTGCCATCACACGCCTCTGTCCTGGGTACCTCTTCCAGGATGGGCTCGGCCTGTCAGATTCCAGGGAGCTCCCACCCCACCCAGCATCTCTGTCTAGGCAGTACCCTCCTCAAAACCCGTCCCACCGAGATGGTGCCAAAACACAGTTTCCCAGAGCGTGGGACTCCTGTTTCCTCTTCGTGTGCTGTAGTTTACAGAGCGCACAAACGACCAGGTGTTTAAAACGTGTGTGCTCCAGGCACAGCACACCTGGCTGGTGCGAGCTAGCACCGCAGCAGCTGCGTGTGCTGTGTGTCTCCGAGCAAGTCAAGGACAGTCAAGCACACAGCTTGCCTAACGTGCTACGGTCCCGGGGTTCAATCTCCGGCAACCCCTCTTCCCCTAAAACAGCCCCAAAGTGATCACAGAAGCTGTGGCCCGCGTGGTGGGAAAAGAGGACATGCTCACCTCGGCTAGGACCTCAGCCTGCGCTTCCCCGCGTTCCTTGCCCAACATGTGCCACGTTCGCGGTGGAAAACTTTCTCAAATCCCATCTTGGCTCCAGTATGCTACCTCCCCCTCAAACCCAGAGACCACACTGGTCCCAGAATCCTAAACAAACTTCCCTTTGGAGCAGGGTGGTCGGCAGAATTAGCAATCTCTCCCTTGTTCCCACAGCCTCAGGGAACCCTCCCTCGGTCACCACAGTGTCAGTGGGAGTGTCCTTGGACCCAATTCTTGATGCAACGATTCCTATGCAAGGGGCATTTTGAGTCCCCCCCGCCCGCCCCCAGCCTTCCCTTGAGATTTTAACCCCGGTGAGACAGGGGTTGAGGGGTGGGGTGGGATCTGGTAGGGACAGGGCAAAGGGCTAGGGGACTCCAGACACTAGGGTATGGGGTGAGGACTCCTAATATTGCCAAAGGGTTCGACTTCTTTAAATAGCCCCTACTATTCTCCCGTCCCTCAAAAGAGACAAATGGGGCGGGGAAAGGGGGTAAGAGTCCTTTTTGAAGGGTACCAGCCACTTCTCACTGTCTCCCCCTGCTCTCCAGTTTCCCACACGTATCCAGCTTTTTAGTTAAGCTTTAAAAGAAAAAGAAAGCTACTATCACTATAAATGTCTACAAAACGTGATTTTCGCCCCCTTCATATCTCCCAATTTACCAAACTACGGGGTTCCGTGAGGGAGAGCCAGGTCCTGGTCTCCCTTTTCCCCACGGCCGCCAGGGTGCCTGCAACTGCACGCATGCGCTGCATGACGCGCCCCCCCCACACGCATGCGTTGCGCACCCCTCCTGCGCGGGTGGGGGGGGGACGACGCTCGGACTTGGGGCTGGGGGCGGGACGACGGGGAGGAATGATTGGCAGGGGCAAGGGGGTCTTCCTGAGCTCAGCAGCTCCCCTCCTTCCCCACACACTCACAGCAATAAGTTTCTCTACTTCTAGTGGGCAGACGGGCCTGGCCTGGCCTGGCGCGGGAAGGGCTGGCCAAGGGGCGCTCTCAGGGATGGGGGCGGGTCCTGAGTCTGGGGGAGGGGAGGTCTGCAACTCTGGTGCTAACGGCGGGTCTTCCTGGCCCACCAGCAGGCAGGGAGGGAGGGGTCGGCAGGCTCCTCCCCCAAGCCTCCCCCATGCCCACCCAGGGTGCATGAACCACCCTCGCAGAAGCTGCCGCATGTCAGCCCTCCCCCACAAAGAAACAGTGTCATGCCCCTCCCCAGCCCAATAAATGATTCCTTTTCATTTAGAAGTGGCTTTTTTGATTTGGGGCTGGGGTACTCACTGGGAACTTAGAAAGTAGGTGGGGGCTGGGCTAGGTGATGTCGACCCAAGAGGTAGAGGAAATACACCCTGGGCAACAAAAGGTGAAAGACGGCTGGGAACAAAGTTTCCCAGAGTCCCCCATGGGACCTGATCTTTTGGTCTCCTTGGACACTGGGGCAAGTATGGGCCTTGACCTTGGTTCCCTTGATGACAAACGCGAACCTATTCTCTTACCCAGAATGTATGAGAGCCACAAGTTTGGGAACTTGAGTCCTAGAACCCAGGAAGAGAGTCCTGGGGAGACAAGGTGCTTATGAAAACTGTCTTCATGTGCAGATAACCAACCCTGGAGCCAGGCAGTGTGGGGTTCGGGTCCTGGGTCACTCATCCTGTGTGCTGAACACTCTGAAAGGGTCACTCCCTCAGCAATGGCTGAAGATGGAAGATGCTGAGGAGACAATTGTTTGCCTAGCATGTAGTGGGACACCGAGACTTTGTGCTGTGCAGTGACTGCCCCGTCCCTAGGAGGATCTCACAGATTACAGCGGCAGAGGAAGCCCCTCACACTCTCCCCAGTTAGGAATACAGCCATGGTGAAGGATTCAGGCGGGTGTAGTTTATTTCTTCAGTCCTGGAGCATGAGGGACCTGAATACTACCCTGTCGAGCACACAGATCTACCCCACCCCGTAAAAGAGGGCAGGATACTGGGAGGAGAATGGAGGCCCCCTGCCTGCCCTCCGCAGGGGACAGGCCTGCGGAAAATGGGAGCAGAAAGGACATCCTTGCCGTCCATGCTCATTTTGTCCCCTTAGTAAGAGTGACCATTCTTGCCTCCTGCCTCCCAGCTCCTTGGTTTAGGACCTCGATTTGGAGTCCTGTCCCAGTAGGGTTCATTAATGCCAGAAAGTGCCAGAGGGCAGCATTATTTCAAAGTACAAGCCAGGAGGGATACTGGGACAGGCCCTGTCCTTGGGGCATCTAGGACAGACTGGGTCACTGGGGTGTGGCAGGGGGTGGAGCCTCAGGTTCCTGGGGTGGTGCATGCCCAGGCTCCGCCCCCTCAGCCTCCTCTTCATCAGAAGCCACGCCCTCCTCCAGCCTGAACACCTGGCGAACAGTGCGCGTGGTGAAGGTAAGAGGGCCGCGCCTGTGGGAGAAGAAGGCGTAAGTGCCGGGGGCGGAACAAAGATGCAGGCAGGGATGAGAACACAGGTGCAGATTGGGACAAGAGAAGCTGAGCTCAAACTCTGGCAAATGGTCAAACAGGTGCACAGGGCACCTGAGCAAGGCTGAAAAGCACAGCGGGGAGGCCAGGGAAGCCACAGCTTCCTCCCCACCGCAGGGTCCAATCCCCATGCTGGTCTTCCAAGCTGAGTCTTGCTCTCCTCTCCTGGGTGGTACCAGCATGTGGGTAACTTACCGGAGCCTGTTCCTCAGCGTGGTCACCTCCCTGTTCATGGACTCCGCGGACTCAGTGACGTCCTCCAGCTCCCGTTGCAGCCGCCGCCGACCAGCCTGCGCCCGCGATGCCTCCTCCTCTGCTTCTTCCAGTTGCCTCTTGAGCTGCTTCAGCCGGAGGTTGCTTTTCTCCAGCTGAGAGGGGGGGACGGACCATGTCATTCCCTGGTGTCCCCCAGTGCCTACAGCAGCTATGGTGACCTACTGAGACTTTCACGGTTATGGCAACAAAATATGTGGAAGATAGCTGGGTGTTGGGCAACCGAGACCAGACAGTTAACTATCCAAGGAGCAGAGAATAGCCGACCCTCCCTGTAAGATCCTGCCCCTCACCCACTGCCTGTGTTCTCTGGGGTGTAAGGGCACATAGTAGGCCTGAGGGAAGGTGAGAGGGATGCGCCTCCTGGGCTGCAGCTTGTGAGCCCATCACTCATGCTGGGGCGAGGTTTCTTAGTGATGTAGCTGTCTTTGAGTCACCTGTGGCCCTGTAAGTGACCCCAATAAACTCACTGGCTTACCGTCCGGGCCTGGTGGAATTAGTCCCGTAACCTGTCAGTGCCCTATCTGGTATAAACACGTGGCTCACTGGAAATCACGTGACAGCACTGGCGGGACACTGGCACACTCAGAGCAGCCCCCTCCCATTTACTGCCCTTCTTTGCCTCCCCAGGACTGCTGGGTAAGGGGCCAGCCCTAAAATAAACTTCCTCATGTCCATGTCTCCATGAAACCCAGTGACCACATCAAGTTCAGTGTCTGATCTCCCCAGACACCTCTCTTCTGGGTAAGAACATACATCGTGTGACTTCATTTGTCTCAAGTAATACAGGCTGGCCTTGAACTCAGTATGTAGCTAAAGATGACCTTAAACTTCTGGTGGTCCTGCCTTCATCTCCCAGGTGCTGTACTGGGGATGGAAACCAGGGTCTTGTGCATGTTAGGTAAGCACTCTACCAACTAGCTCCAAGTTCATTTCTTATACTCCTCTCTCTTGCTTCCTTCATCAGGGCCTTTGAACTCCTGCTCTTTCTACTTGGCTCTTCCTCCTCTGTCAGGTCTTAATTCAAATGTCCTCCAGCCCTTTCCAACACCCAGTGGACAAGGCTCTCCATTCCTGTCTTCATTCTTCTCTTTCACAGCCCTTATCAGAACCTGGCATTATCTTTGGTCCTGTGTATAATAGCTTTCCTGGGCTAGTAATGTGAGCTGACGACACCTTATTTCCAATTCCTAGCAATGTGCCTGGCACAAAGGGCATGCTCAATAATCCTCTGTGGAATGAATAGCAAACAAGGTATAGCTGAGCTTTTAAGGACATAGGGATTCTACCTGGAGTCACATACAGGCTTTGTTGCCTACAGACTACGGGATATTTTTCATTGTTGCTGCTGGTTTAAGAAGGGGTCTTTCACTGTAGCATAGGCTCTCCTGGAACTCATAGCAATTCTCCTGCCTTAGCTTCCACCATAGCTGGGATGACCCACTTAGCCACTTGCCAGGCCAGGCTAGCAGTGTTATTT